TCCCCAGTCACCCCAATCCCCGAATCCTTCACAATCGTCAAATCCCAATCCCAAACCGTGGGCCGTAGTTATAGACGCTGTGACACCGACCACTTCTTTGATTCCCATATATATTCATCTAAGGTCATACAAGTACACAAGTCATTTGACAAAAAATTTGAAGCAATTTGGTTACGATTCAATTTACGCTACCTATTTAAAAAGTTTTAATTTTTTCCTGTAGCAACAACCGAAAAAGTTTAACATCGTTTAAAAATAAACTTTTCCCATTCTCGATATCGCAACGTTGGTTAACGACGAGCCTCCATTCATGATGATCTGTTAAAAACAATTTTCTTTCTTTTTTTGCGTTTTTTTTTTTCAACTATTTTTGAGGTTAGTATTGCCTAAATATTAAACAGATTCAGCTGTATATGAGTATTGGAGTGTCTGCCAGTTGATGGCCTGAAGACTTGGTAAAAATCGCAGTCAGACATTATATATATGTCAGACAATTTAAGACAATTTGAGATTTTTTATTTTTTAAATTCTGTATCTTTTTGCCCGACCCGGGAATCGAACCCGAGACCCGTTGCCTGGCAGTCGCACTCACTCACTCACACAACACTCGGCCAACGCAGCACTTTTCGAAAAAATAACCTTTTAACCTATAACTTTTTTATTAGATCAACGTTACGGGAAAACAGAAAGGCCTATCTATAGAGCTATTTTTTTAAAGGCTTTTTGTAACAGCCGGGTTCAAATCGAGTTGTTAGTTAGTTCAACGAATCAATTTCCTGTGTGTCAGTATCAAAGAGGTTCGCTTTTTCACCTTTTTCACGTTTAAATGGTGGAAATTGTATTTTACTCTTGTATTTGTAGGTTATAATGGACCCTCCCTCGACCGTTGGGTCTAAAATTCTTTAGAATATGACGAACTAGGGTTGGTTTTGCATTGTATAGAGATATTTGATTCGTCAACGTTTCGTAATGTGTATGTGACATATTTATTTTTAATGGTGAAGAGGTCGGTTTTATATTTTTTTAGATAGTAAACTTCATAGAATGTTTCTACCCACCTATTCGCTCAATGGAAAAATCTTTGATTTACATATAATACTTATGTTCAGCAAAAATCTACGCTTCTTATAAATATCCTAAACAGTTCAAAAACCAGATATTCCGATATCCAACAAAACTAATTCATCATAATTAAAAACAAAAAAGTAAAAACGTTATTCGAAAATGGAACCATTCAATCACCGTTAATAGAACTGCTGCCTATCGAATTTAAAAATAAAACATTGTATTCCAAATACAAATGTTCAAACACTATTTCGAATTCAAATGGCTAAATATAACGAACAATTCTAATTTCGAATTGATTGTGAAAATCAAAGTATTGGAACTCTTTTTGTTTTAAAAATAACTGATTTGGACAAACAATTCAGTTATTTTCATATCTTTTGTGTTGCTCGGATCGTTGGTTAAGTGGTTATAATTATAACTGTTGAACTAGGAGTTTAAAATTTGAAGTCCGCGTCAAACTATGTTTCTGATTTTCTAATATTCTTAACTTTACGGCCAATAACCTTTCCATCTGTGGATTTGCTGTGTATAATAATAATAACACACAGAATTTTGATAAATTTTGTATGAACCTTGTATCAAAATTCTATGTCTAACAAAATCCTTTTAACTTTGACAAAGCTACTGAATTCGCTAGTGCAACACATTTTGCTGTAACTGTTATAGTCAGCGTTACAGTTACTGTTAAATGTCATCATCAACAGCCTATAAATGCCCACTGCTAAGCAAAGCCTCTTCTCACACGGAGAAGGTTTGAGCATTAATTACCACGCTTGCTCAATGCGGGTTGGCGATTTCAAACTTATGATTAGAAATGATAAGTCCAGGTTTCTTCACGATGTTTTTCCTTCACCGTTTGTCAGTGGTGTCTGAATAATCTTAGAAAATACTGTCAAATGTGATACTAACTAATTCTATAAGTCTTCAAAGTCAGTCGACTTGAGTTTACTTTTACAACTCAATATCAAATAAAAATACCTACAAACAACGTCATATCAACTTTGATCCAGCCAACTAGCTCCCTTGGGAAATATCATAGCCCACGCCTCCCCCATATTGATATCCTATATATAAATCAATATTGTGTATATATACCAGTCTACATATACTTGACAAAGTCAATAAAACTTGGTCCGACTCACTTGAGACCCTTGAATCTGTGTGTGAAAAGTTTCAGGCGAAAAAAATTGAATGTATGATGGTGGTGGCAAGAAAACAGTACTGTTTTGTTCCTTTTTGTGTTAAGTAGGTACTAAGCTCTAAATGTGGGAGTGTGGGAGAGCCATGCTTCGGCACGAATGGGCCGGCTCGACCTGAGTGATACCACGGCCTCACAGAAAACCGACGTGAAGCAACGCTTGCGTTGTGTTTCGTCGTGTGACTCGTGAGGTTACCGGAGGCCCAATTACCCTCCCCTTCCCCAATCTCCCCAATTCCTGAATCCCCAACGATCCTCAAACTCCTAATCCCCAAAAGGCCGGTAACGCACTTTCACGCCTCTGGTGTTCCAGGTGTCCATGGGCGACGCCGATTACTTACCATCAGGTGATTCGTCTGCTCGTTTACCGGCTTATGCCATAAAAAAAAATGATTTACATAACCCTGCACACCCACAAGCACTCACAAACTAAATACTATACATTTTAAGAATACCTACTTACATTTTACACTAACCCACTAATATATTATAACACA